AGGTTAGTTTTTCTAATCTATTTTTAGTTTTCTGCTTAATAACTCAATTGTGTGTTACTAATTTTTATTTACATGTTCTCTATTATTAGCTTTACCAGTAATCATACACCTTTACGGTGTATAGATTCTGAAACCAAATTGTTTGATGGTAGTTGTGGCATTGCTGTGCATCCTAAAAATGTGTTGGTCAGTTCTATTCAAGATATATACTCCAAAAAACAGGTAATCTCTTTTTCTTTTTTTTTTCTTTTTGTATTCTCGGCCTTTTTTTCCTACTTTATTTATTTAACTCAATCTTACTTGCAACTAGGGGAGTATTGGGTGGCAGGTATAATTGTTGATGTAGAGAGTTTAAGTGACTGGTATTACATTTCTTGCAAGAGTAATTCTTGCAAGAAAAAGCTTGCTTCTGATGGTGGTATGATGTATTATGCTGGGTGTAAGAGTTCTTAGCATGAGGGAGTTGTGAGGTATAGGCTTATTGTCCGTGTTGCTGATCATACTGGGGATGCTCCTATGCTGATGTGGGATCGTGAATGTGCGGAATTGGTTGGTTTGTCAGCTGGTGAATTAAAGGCTAAGTATGCAGTGGTAGGTATTTCTATGTCACATACCTATGTGCTTAAATGGTGAATTCACTAAATAGGTTGTGCATGTGTTTTTTGTTTTTAAAACTTTGTAGGGGAATGGCTGTATTCCATCTGAGTTAGGGTGTTTGCGTGGCATGTCAATGTTGTTTCGGATTGCTATGAAGAAAGAGCAGGTTGAGAGTTACTATTCCGCATTCACAGTACTTAGGATTTGCAAGGATGAAGCATCTCTTACACAGTACTGCTCGAGTCTATCAGCTGGCATTTCACAACCAACCATTGGTCCAGGTGATGTAGGTGGTTTTCTGGACGAGGATGAGGATGGTGATGTCAGTTCTGAGGTATATTCTTCTATCATTATTTGGTTAACTTTGCCACCATGGTCTTATTCATTGGCTCTAATGTTATTTCCTACAGGAATGCTTTGGTACTGATAATGAAGAATGTGTTGAGGTGGATGGTGGTTCTCAAGGTGTCAAGGTGGACAAGTTTCGTGGCTTAGATGACATTGAACCTGGTGTAGGTGTTAGTGGTGCTGTTTTGCCTCTTAAGAGGTCTTTATTTAAAGACTTTGTGCATGTTGGGGCTTCAAAGAAGGGTAAGGAAGTGGTGGTTAAGGAAGAAAAGTAATAGGTTATTCTATCTTTTTAAATGTAATGTTGAAGTACTAAGTGTTGACTGGCTGCTATTTTTTGCTATTCCTTTTTTGTGTTTAAGGCTAGAAAATTGCTTAAGCTACAATGTACTCTTAGAAAATAGATATAGTCTATTTTCCTATTTTGTAATTGGTTTTTTGGAAGCTGTATTAGCAAGAGTACCTAATGTACTTATCCTTAGTAGCAGCCAGTAAGGTCTTTGTAATCTACTTAGTTTTCTAATATAAAATTACCTACTTATGATTAGAAGCTAATCATTGCAGTTAACTTATACAGTGAGAAGTATTCAAATAAATAATCCAAACACATAATGGAGCTTTGCATCAAAGTATACAAGTAATCGAAAAAGAGCTCTATAAAGAAAAAAACAATATTGGAAAATTATATATACATATAGTTGTTCACAAGTAATTGGGAAAAAAGTATCAAATACTTTTTTTTCGTATAAAATTTAATGTTTAATTTCAAATTGTTAGGAGTAGATTAACAAAAAAAAAAAAAAAAAACTTTTAAAATTTGTCTAGCAATAATTCCATTTGTCTAGAATCCAGAAATATATAATTCCATTTTTCTTGCTACTGATCATATTGGGATGCTCCTATGCTTATGTGGGATCGTGAATGTGCGAAATTGGTTGGTTTGTCAGCCGGTGAATTAAAGGCTAAGTATGCAGTGATAGGTATTTCTATGTAACATACCTATGTGCCTAAATGGTTAATTCACTAATTTAAATGCTCATGTGTTTTCTGTTTTTAAATCTTTGTAGGGAAATGGATGTATTCCAACTGAGTTAGGGTGTTTGAGTGACATGTCATTGCTGTTTCGTATTGCTATGAAGAAAGAGCAGGTTGAGAGTTACTATTCTGCATTCACAGTCCTTAGGATTTACAGGGATGAAGCAGCTCTTACACAGTACTCTTGAGTATGTCGATTGGCATTTTACAACCAGCCATTGGTTCAGGTGATGTAGGTGTGGTTTTCTGGATGAGGATGAAGATGGTGATGTCGGTTCTGAGGTAGTGAGGTATATTTGTCTATCATTGTTTGGTTAATTTTGCAACTATGGTCTTACTTATTGGCTCTAATGTTATTTCCTTCAGGAATGCTATAGTACTGATGATGAAGAATGTGTTGAGGTGGATGGTGGTTCTCAAGGTGTCAAGGTGGACAAGTTTCGTGGCTTAGATGACAGTGAAGATGATTTAGGTGTTAGTGGTGCTGTTTTGCCTCTTAAGAGGTCTCTATTTAAAGACTTTGTGGTTGTTGGGACATCAAAGAAGGCTAAGGAAGTGGTGGTTAAGGAAGAAAAGTAATAGGTTATTCTACGTTTTTAAATGGGATGTAGTACTACTAAGTGTTTACTGGTAGCTGTTTTTTGGTAGTGGTTTTTGGTGTTTAAGGCTAGAAAATCGCTTATGGTGCAATGTACTCCTAGAAAGTAGAAATGGTCTATTTTCCTATTTTGTTATTGGTTTTTTGGAAGCTGTATTAGCAAGAGTACCTAATGTACTTATCCTTAGTAGCAGCCAGTAATGTCTTTGTAATCTACTTAGTTTTCTAATGTGAAATTATCTACTTATGATTAGAAGATAATAATTCCAGTTAACATATACAGGGAAAAGCATCCAAATACATAATCCAAATACATAATGGAGCTATGCATCAAAGTATACAAGTACACGAATTTGGAAAGGGAAAAAGAATTGTAATATTTTTAAAAAAGAGGTCTATAAAGAAAAAAAAAAGGTGTGGAAAATTATATTTTCGTATCAAGTTTAATGTTTAATTTGAAATTGTTAGTAGGGGTAGATTGTAAAAAAATGCTTTTAAGATTTGTCTAGAAAAAAAAAAGTTTAATTCCAAATTCTGAATATCATGAAATAGTTGTAAATTTAAAAATAAATTAACAACTAATGAGTCTTAGTGTTGATTTAAGAAAATTTAAATTTGCAGTTACATTAAATGCTTCAAATAATTTAGGGGGTGTATTCGATCATGACTTTTATAGAGTTTTAAAGACTTTTAAAATGATTTGTTTTAATAAATTTTGATTGACTTTCATAGAGTCATTCAAAACTTTTTAAAACTTTATAAGATTCTATAAGAGTCTATATAAATAATATTCATAGACTTTCATCAACTTTTTATTTTAAAAAGTCTACAAAAGTCATTGAAATTCTAAATTGAATACATCCTTACAAACTTTTAATGATTTTGATTCTTAACATTTATAATTTTCTTACAAAACATTTATAATATATCATAAAATTCTTCTAATTATATGGTTCTTCACCCAAATCTAATATATATATATATATATATATATATATATATATATATATATATATATATATATATATATATATACACACACATACTTGATATATTGCTAGACATCAAGCAAAGAACCATTATTTGTAATAGCAATTTGAGACAGTGAACAACATCAATGTGCTACTGTTTGCAACCTCAAATTGTTGTTGCGAATATACAGTAGTTCGCTATTCGTAGTAACCAGTTGTTAAAAAAATAATAAAAAATATATATTACGAATATAAACATAAAAAGAATAAAAATCAAAATATATATGTATTTATATGAATATTATGAAACATATACTAAAATTTGACGATGAAATATTTACTTTGTTAATGTATTTAGGGAGAATTAGAGAAAGTTAGTGATAAAAAATTCATAGAAAAAATAAAAATGAATAAACAAGCAATAATGAAGTAAAAATAATATTATTTTGAATTTTTAGAGGAAGATTGTAAAGTTTAGGAAAGAGAGAAAAATTGGTAGAGTTTAGGTATGAGAAAAATATAGGATAATGAAGAAAAAAAATAATTTTATTGAATTTAGATAGGTTTATAAAGTTTAAATTTGAGAAAAATGGAGTTTAAATAGAGAGAGAAAACTTTCAAAGTTGTTAGAAATTTTTTTTTTGAAATCTTGAGGTTGATGGTTGGATTTCAACTATTTATATTTGTGAATGAAAAGTCTACAAAAGTCCTAAAATTTAAAAGTCTACAAAAGTTCACAACTTTTTGAATACCACATTACTTTTAAAGACTCTTTAAAAGTCTTAATCGAATACTACATGACTTTTAAAGACTCTTTAAAAATCTTGATTGAATACCGCCTGACTTTTAAAGACTCTCTAAAAGTTTGAATTGAATACTCCAAACTTTTAAAGTTCATAAAAATCTTTAAAACTGTACGAAAGTCATAATTGAATACACTCACCTTAGTGTACATTTAGAAAAAAAAAAACTAATGTCCTTCCAAAATAAACATCAGAAATTATATTTATAATCATAATCATATATATTAAATAAATGAACTTTTGAATAATTTTGACTGCAAATTCCTCATAAAATTGCCTAAAATCTTTCTATATATTAAAGCCATATAACCATGGCCAATCAAATGGTTGCATTTTCCCGCCTATGTAAAACTACGTAGTTTCAATTATTAGGTGATTTTTTATTTTTATTTTTTTTTGTTTAGATCATTTTAACTGATCTTTTGGGATTTGTATTGCTTTATAGGACTTTTCGTACTCCAATGTATTGATGGTGAATTGAATTGCTGATATGCAAGTTTTGCACTACCAACTACGGACTAATAAATAAATCTCTATCTCTACTCTCTACTATAATAATAGCCAAACATTTTTGATAAATAAAAAGAAATTGTTTTCCCGCCCATGAGAAGCGATGACATTTGGGGAGCGACGTTCTGGACTTTAAAGTCATAGCTTTTGCATAGGACAAAATTTTAAAGTATTTCATTTAGAACAAATTGCACTTTTGGTCCTGTGAGTATTAGGGTACTGACAATTTGAGTACGTGACTTTCAAAACTCTCAATTTAAACCTTTAACTATGCAAAAATTGGCAGATTTGGTCCTCCGGGCCAAATTGCCGGCCAATTTTGGCCGGAAAAACATAAATTGGTTCGAATTTATTTGTGTTGAGGGCAAAATCGTCATTTCACTCCCTTCTTCTTCATTCTCCCTTTCTTCTTCGTTCTTCTTCTTTCTTTCTTCTTCTTTGCTGCTTCTTTCGCTGGTGGCACACCGATCCCACCCTGGTTGTGAATCCATTTATTCCAATCTGTCCAATCATCAAGAATCTTTTGCCACTCAAATCCCGACGGGTTGAACAAGAAAGGAGCAAATAGCCATGTTCCCACCAGGAACCATATTGACATAGTTACCAGGATGTAAGCAACATCTCTATATGGTTTACCAAATATGTGGTATACAAGAGCTAGAATCATCAATTCAATTCCCTTCACAAAATCAGTCAAGGCAGTGCGGAAACCCCTTTCAAGGCCTATCTCCATCATCATCGGCAATGCCATTAAAAGTCCAATCTGCACAAAAGACTGAGAGGCAAGAGCAACTTGAAGAGGTTTATTATCCCGTATAGCTGGGTGGGAAATCAAACCATTCTCAAGTCCACTGAGAACAAGATAGAGGCGACCATACAAAAATACGTATACCACAAGAACAGTTATCTGCCAAAGCAGGCGAACATTAATTAGGCACACTTGAGTATGACAAAATATATACTAGAACAGAATTTTAAAAAATCTGGGAGCAGATTTATACCATAGTACTAAAATAGAACCCCACAGTGGTGAAGTAACATGACAGCATGCGGAAAAAATCGAAGCGATGTCCAGCAGCAAAGAAGAAGAAAGAAAGAAGAAGAACGAAGAAGAAAGGGAGAATGAAGAAGAAGGGAGTGAAATGACGATTTTGCCCTCAACACAAATAAATTCGAACCAATTTATGTTTTTCCGGCCAAAATTGGCCGGCAATTTGGCCCGGAGGACCAAATCTACCAATTTTTGCATAGTTAAAGGTTTAAATTGGGAGTTTTGAAAGTCACGTACTCAAATTGTCAGTACCCTAATACTCACAGGACCAAAAGTGCAATTTGTTCTTTCATTTATTTCATTCATTGCGGGCAAGAAACATCTTCATCTTTGCAGACTTTGCAGGTGTTAGCTGCTATTTCCAAGGCAAAAACTCAGTTTGCTATTTCCAAGGCATTAAAAAATTAATTTTGGCTGATGAGTACAACACAAGCAAGTACATATTTTTAAAATAAAATTTTGCTAAGAAAAAACCTATAAATAGATGGTTCCGCACCCACATCTACACAAAAGGGAGTAATCACTTTCTCCATAAATAGATGGTACTGCACCCACATCTCATTTGTTTTGAATTGCTTCTCATTTGATTTTCAGAAAAATGGAGACCGGGGAGGCCAAGCTTAGCTGCTAATAGAAACCCTTTTGAAGGATTTCAATACCCCTGCACCCTGCACCCTGCATTAATTTCATGTGTTCTTACTTCCAGTGACACCTGAATTTATTAGGAGCAAAGAATGATCATAATAATAGCAACATAACTCAAACCCAAGTACGTACATGCCTATTCTTACATTCTCAATGGTAATAATATCTTAACTAATTATCTTACATTGTTCTCTTAGTTATTGTATATTATGTTCATCATATTCATGCAGCTTAGTGAAGCAAATATTCTCAAATCCAAAGTTAAAGCATGTATGCAAGTTTAAAAAATGGCACAAAACAATTTATACTATATATAATACATCAGAATATAGGAAAAGGAACATTTAAATACTTGATGAATATTGGTGAATATGAAAGAAGCTTTAGGAATTAGGATGACCTTTGTGAGAATTAAAAAATGTAAGTAAGTGGGATTTGTGGTTAAATGTGTGTGTGAACTATAAAATTCAAAAAAAATGCCTTCAAATCTTTTGAATAGAAATGAATATTGGTGAATATGAAAGAAGCTTTAGGAATTAGGATGACCTTTGTGAGAATTAAAAAATGTAAGTGGGATTTGTGGTTAAATGTGTGTGTGAACTATAAAATTCAAAAAAATGCCTTCAAATCTTTTGAATAGAAACTTATCTCATTTGGAGTTGACACATTCCTATACTATAATCTTTCTTCCCTGCTTATGCAAGTAATAATACTGAATTTTCCTGATCTGCAATTATAGCAATGTATGTCAATACAAAAATCACCAAAAATAACATGTTATGCAAAGTAAAAAAAAAAAATTGTAAAAATTTAAAAATAAAGATTTAAAATATTATACCAAAAATGCTTATTAAATACAGAGATTCAATAAATTATATACAAATACAGTAAAAACTTAATTAAATAAACCTTACGAGTACAGTAAAAACTATACAAAAAATATTTAAAAAATACTGTAAATAACTAATATATAATGTTACTGTCACTAATTTGCACATATAAATTAATAAATTGATTTATCAAACAGAAAAAAAAAAATCACATCAAGTTGTAAAATGAAATACAAATTAATAAAAAAGTAAAAAATTGTAAAATGAAATACAAATTAATAAAAAAAAGTAGGCTAAAGTGTCATTCGGCACCATGAACCATAAGCCATTCTTCATCCCGCACCCTGAACTTTCATAAGTCCTATTTCGATCCACAAACTAAAAAAAAATTGTCATCTAGAACTTTTTGCAGGTTATCTATAGGTTGCAGGTCATAATTTCTTGACATGATTTTTTTTTAATTTTTTTTTACTGACATGGATTTTTTTTTTCATCAACACACTTATATTCTTTCGCGATATTCTGGTCGATCTTCACGGAGACCTTGCCGTGGCCGTCACCGTCGCATACATTTGAATTGCATGAAAAACATGAATCACATACATTTGAATTACATGTTCAAAGCTTGACTACACATCTTCTACTATATGACAACTCTTAGCTTCCTCATCCCAAAATTGGCAGAATCTTGCTGTCTCCAAGTAGTGTGAGAGAACAATTACAGTCTTGAATTGTTCTTCCATTTGCACTAGTTCTGGGATTAAGAAAAGACAAAGGCTGAAATCTGGCGCTGGCATGGCCATCTTAGCCTTGACCAAAATGCGAGCAACAATTTGTGTACTCATCCTCTCAGGCAAAGATTTGCATCCAAATTGTAAGTTTGTGAAGAAACCTGTTCATTGACGTAATTCTCGAGATCAGGGAGGATGTCTGAATTGTAAGGATTGATGACGATGAGTTGCTCCACCATGTACGACAGCGCCGACGACGGATTTTGTCCAGCCACCTCTCTCCCCATTCTCTGAAGCTTCTCGACGATTCAAACTTGCATCATCCGCGGGTGAGATTTTTCGAGCTCAAGTTTACAACGGCAGAGGTTTCTAGGTCTTAAAAAAGAAGAATTGACTTTAATAAATAGTCCACATCAGCACATTACCGGTGCCATGTCATCATGCAACCTGGAAACCTACAAAAAGTTCTAGACGACAAATTTTTTTTAGTTTGTGGGTCGAAATAGCACTTATGAAAGTTTAGGGTGCGGGATGAAGAATGGCTTATGGTTCAGGGTGCCGAATGACACTTTAGCCAAAAAAGTAAAAAATCAAATAACATTCGCCAGAAAAACGTGCATACATTTGATGAAGCAGGTAAAATTTGCATGTTAAAAAAATAAAAAATTAGTAGAAATTAAAAAAATCTACTATAAATGAATAACATTTAAAAAATTAAACCAAAAGAATTAACGAAAAATCGAAAAGTATAATCATGCAATGAGGAGAAAAAATCAAAAAATATAATCATATGTTTTGCGGAAAAAGGTCGAAAAAAAAAATAATAGAACCAAAAGAAACTATTAAAAAAGGAAAAAAAATGACAAGAAAAATAAAAAAATATTAATAATAAAAAGTATAACATACACAGTATACACGGGTTTAGATCTGCACAATTTACATGTCTGAAAAAAAAAATTGATGTTAAAAAAGAAATAGATATCTTATACATTAAAAACCTTAGAAAAAAATGAACATAAAGAATTTTAGATATACCTATTTGTTTAGATTCGATTTGTTTCCATGCTTTTGTTCCTGTTTCCAGATATAGTCGCGAGGCAACAGATTACGGCGAAGCATTAGAATCAGAAGAATGGTAGGTTAGGATTTGTGGTTGATAATAGATGAAGGGGTGGAAGGAGTGATGAAAAGAAAGAAGAGAGGTCGAAGTAAGCTGCTGCGAGGAAGAAAGAAGAAATGAG